CTCCCCCCCCCATAGGAGTCAATTCTCGTAAAATCCGTTCTTAGTGGATTTCTATTCAACAAAAATAGCATGCTTATCAAACTTCAAGCATGTAGGTCTGAGTTCAAAAACAGGATTTTTTTATATCTATAACGCTCTTTATACCCTTTTGGGTGGTTGATTTTCGAAAGACCCGTTTAAGTTGAACTGAACTCCATGAAAAGAACATGCCTGCCAAATTTCAAGTCTGTAGGCCTAATAGTTCTGGAGACATCGAGGTAAGGGAGTGAGTGAGCCACTTTTCTCCCATTTGTACATATATATAAGACGAAGCGTGGAAATCTATATATATAACCAGTTAGGCAACTCAAGAAAATAGCCATGTACACTATGAGTTAATTATAAATATCTTAAATATATATATATATATATATATATTATGAAATTTCTTACATAACTCCATCATACAATTTTTATATGCAGTTCGATTAGAGTATTTTGTATATGTAACTGTGAACGTGGTGTTTTGAATAAAAATGTTTAAAATGTTAAATGTGTTTTAAAATGTTAAATAAATTATCGTAATAGTGCATATATATTTATACAATATATATATATATATATATATATATATATATATGTATATATTTGTTCTGAGTTATTTCCGACGAAGTGAGAACTAGCACCAACAGATGGCGCCAGTATTTTTCTTGGCTTCAAATATATTGTTTTAAAATTTGTAATTGTTGACACTTGATGTTGATACAATTTTTTTTCAAATATTAATTCATGAATTAAATTTAATGAACTAAAATAAAAAATTTTTCTTTGTTGACCTTAGAGGAATTGAATTTGTTTTTGTTTCCTTTATATTACATGTTATTTCTTTCGTTTAATTCATCCAATTCAAAATGCCCTTCATTTCCTTATTCGTTTACCCACACTGACTTCTACCACTAATATTTCATTATTCTATTTGCAATTCTTGTCTGTGGTTTTAAACAAACCGTCGACTCGTTACCATAAGAAAATGATAAAAAGATAAGAATTTGTTTTATGAGTCGTCTTGTCTTAGTAACAAAATAAATATCAATATCCAGTTACAAAAGTGCCATTCTCTTCAGTGAACCGGAATACTAAAACTTTTTAAAATCTTTTTACGTCCACCATCTCTTTCAAACGATAGCAGCCAAGTATAAGCATGTTAACTCCCTTAACAGTTGGTGTATTTGCTTTTCTCAGTTTATTTAATTTAAATGTAATCTACAGCTTATAGTCACACACACACAGATTACAAACTCTTCCTACTACACATTTTTTTTATGTAACTGCTTCTTACATTCTAGAATTTTAGTGGGAACAATTATTTATTTGTTCTCTATTTTTTTTAAAGAATGTAAGTGAAAGTATTCCAACCATTTTATTGTAGAGAGAAAGGGTTCTTCTCATTGTTACTCTTTGTGTATCAAAAAAACAATTTACAAACGCCTTTTATATTTCCAAATTGTTTGACAGTCCTTTTTACACAGACAGCCTTACAGGTTTTCTAAGATGAAATGATTTCAATACAGCTACAATACAACAATCCAGATGTAAGTAACATGCATGCTTGTTTTCATCCAATCTCGCATTAAAACTCACAAAATAAGAAGCAAGATAGAAAGAGAAAATACATTCCACGTCATGAACAAATAACTTCCAATACAATCTTTACAATTATGTGTCCTGATAACTATACCAGCTGCCTTTTTAAGTACTCTGTAGTTTGTGAAACGAAATGTTAAATGACTTCGCTAATATAAAATAAAAGTTCTTCAAGTTAATAATAAAATAAAATGTATAGCATATTTAAAAAAGAAGAGTAACTGACCAATAACAGAGCTAATGGTTGAATCCATAAAGTGTTTAACTTTAAAGGATAAGCAATTGCGACAAAAATTGTTGAAATGTTCAGTTTTTTTTGGAATAAAGCAGGTACTTTTATTTTTTTTTAATATTGTAGTTATACTCCGTGTAAAGAGGCTCGGGGTCCAAGACAAGTGTTCTTTTCTAAGTAGAATATTTACTTTTTCTACTTTTTGCAAAATGCATAAATTATTAAGGACTTTCAGTACATACAAATAAAATTAGATTTTTTTTTAGAATTATTTTCTTTATCCGTATTTACTCGAGGTATCTTTTGTCAACGCAAAAAAAGGAAATACATAATTTTTAAATAAAGTGCATATTTGTAACCAAAGTTTCAACAAAATCCTGCTGATATCAAAAATGCTTTTAAACACTAAACTTTTTTTTCTAAATGAATAGTTCCTAATAACTTTTCTTTCCACACGTCACCATTAAACGCGGAAATACTGATTTATCCATCCGCCCAGTAGCTGAGCTGTTAAAATGATAGGTAATAGCATACTTTCCGAAACACTGCGGAAAAGAAAAGCTTCGCCATAAACACTTTTCATGACAGTGATTGCTTTCAACACTCTGCAAAAAGTTCGATGGCATTGTAATTATCTCCCGAAATGACGGAAAAGATCATTACCAGTACGTGAGAAGCAACGTTAGCTGAAAAGTGTAAAGTGTATTAGAACCTCCTCGATGATAGCAGAAAAATTTCCAGTCACGTTTCTAGTGTCTCACGCATTACTTAATTATTCATCCGAAAAACAAATATCTCCCATAGATAGAGTTTTAAGATGTCTTGCATCTGTTGCACTTTTTAAGCGCTCAAATTTCTCGATCAACACCTAGTTTTATTATCCCGTAACAATAGTAAACACGGATTGGTCTCTTTTTGCATACCAAGTGTCAATTTAAAACGATGAGAGACCCTAGTATTTCGAAGTCATTTCTAAAAGCATCACGTTTATAGGATACGATTATTACCAGCGTGGGAGGGTAGTTGGCTACGAACAATCTCCTTTTAACAGAAACCGTTTTCTCCAACCTTCCTCTATTCGCCTAAAGTAGTACAATAAAGCACGTAGTATAGAAACAAAGTTACCTTCGCTTATAAGGGGAAGATATTTCCCCGCCAGAATCATCATCAAAGCTGCCGCCATTGCAACTAAATTCCCTCTCTGAAGTTGGAGGAAAACTGCATTAAAATTCTGAAATTGTCTTTCGTTAGCAACTTGCCAGCTCGATGTAGTTACGCAAAAAAGTGTCAGTATGTCCACAAGAGCGATGGTGATGATGAAATAATATTAATTTTTTTCTAAGGTTGGGGCACATTTTTCTTGGAATAGCTCCTTGGTGGAATAGCAGGGAACACAACTTTGAATGAGATGAGGTAGAATTATTAATTGAGAGCATGGAATGGTGATTAGATTTCCACGAGAGTTGGATCCCATGCATAATGGTGCAACTCTATATAATACAATTATATACTTTTCTCAATAGTGAATGTGAGAAAAATGAAAGAAAAGGTTATAAGTTCTTCCTTAAATTTCAGTGGAGAAAAATAAATTAGAGAAAACAGTCTTGTCTCTTGAAGCCATGTCATTTCTAGCACAAATCACTGAAATAATCTAACAGCTTGTAGATTTTAAAACGAAGCATTTCAATTTAGAAAATATTGAAGTTATTAAATTGCTGTTTGTAGCGCTTTGATGAATGTTTATCAATTTTATTTTCTAATAATTAATATCAACTACTTTCCTTTCACTTTTTTTTAATTTAAATATTTGCGTTACCTTAGAACCTTAAAAGATAGACACATTCTCAGTACACAAAGTATATACTTTTTCATAAATTTGAATTAAATAAATCAGTTATTAACTTCTTAAAAATGACTGAAGAGTTTTTTTCTAAAAAAAAGAAAAGAGTTTGCGTTAAAAAAACAAATGATTTAACAATTTTCTAAAAATGTTGCTATTGTAGATACTGAACTACACTCACATACATATATATGTATATCAAACTATTTTGCTTTCAATTTTAATAAGTGTAAAAACGAGTAATAAATTTAATTTCTCAGCAAAATATTTTAAACTTATATTATTGTTTGAATCTTAACGTAACATTGTAAATTAACATTATTTAAGTCTAAACATTTTATAAAAAAAGAGTGTGTGTGTACTTATGTACGCACGTAAGAAGTTATACTTCTTTGTCGCAACAAGATTAAAATCTTTCTAAAAATCTTTAGCAGGGCAAGCTGGGTCAGGAACGAAAGGCGGTCACGAGCAGAGTTGAAAGATACTAACCTTCAGTCAATCGGACCAGCTGAGATAATCACGATTTAAATAAATTTAAACACATCCACACAGGGACAATAGAACCAATAACATGGGGGGTATTAGACTGTATCTGGAGATGAAGTGAGCCGAATGTGATATCTGAGACTTCATGTTGAATGTTTAGGTGCGAAGAATCGTTCCTGAGAAAATTAAGACATCCGCCTGAAGAGCCCCCGAGTTACGGTCATTTTAAAATAATTAAAACAATTAAATAAAATAGAAGCAGGGCACCCAGAAACTGGACCTGGTTGGGAGCAAACACAAGAGGAATCTATTAGGACCGAGCCGAAGTCTGTAGTTGCAAATGGGGCGGCGCTAGCTCGGGAAATGAAAACGAAACTAACTCCCCCGGAGACGTAAATGGTCACTTACATCCCAACGATACACAGAGTAGTAGGTGATCCCAAAATTTAATCCTTCTATCTCTGAAATATCGTTACTTCGTCAAAAGATGGAATCCCATAGAAAAAACATGGGGACTCTAATTTTAGTGACAACGCCCCCCTAAGCCCACTATCTACACACGAATTATAAAAGATGAAACAGCTCAACGAGGAGAACCCATGGTCCGAGTTTCATTAACGAATCTCAGTGGTAGAGCATTCGACTGCAGATCGAGAGGTCCCCTGTTCAAAACCGGGTGTCCTCTTCTTCAGGAAAGTGAAGAGAAATATTTTTTTGAGAATTTAGAAGGCGAGAATGATCTGTCCCGTTCTGTATATTTCTAGACAAAGCATTTTCGTATCCGTTCCTAAGGAACGCAAAGCAAAGGTTCGCTGACGCGGGGGTATAGCTCAGTGGTAGATCATTCGACTGCAGATCGACAGGTTCACGGCTCAAACCCGGGTGTCCTCTTCTTCAGGGAAGTAAAGAGAAATACTTTTTTGAGAATTTCAAAGGCGGCAATTGTCTGTCCCTTTCTGTATATTTCTAGACAAAGCATTTTCGCTTCCGTGACGGTGTGCGTCACATCCGTGTGCGCGCATCGTAAAAATTCACCCTCATCCTTTTCTCTAACGCCCCAAAAGAAGTATAACTTCAAAAACATTTTTAATCATTTAGAAGAACAAAAATTTACATATTTGTGATTTATCTTTAAATTTGTTACAGGAAAAATAAACAAAATATTATAAGTTACTTTTGATTATGCGCAGAACAAAAAAATTAAAACAAATAAAATCACACAATTATTTTCAGTTTATTTTTCATATTAATTTTGCTATAAAACACAGTTTAAATTTTCTTTTCTTTTAATTTAATTGAATTAATGAGAAATATACTAACTGTGTTCCTCTCTTCCAATTTTTCGAAATATTACATATCTGAAGTTAAAAAAAAAACTAGATTCTTCAAATATTATTAAAATTGTGTACTTACTGAATATAAATAATTTTCGCAATACATCATTTTATCATCTCCGAAGTGTACATTCATACATTTATCTTTAAGGAGATCTGTGTACACAAATAAACACAACTCTTTTCTTGCCTTCACAAGTTGTTGCTCATCCGAGCACAACTCAAACAAATAGTTTTATTTCTATGTATAAAACTTCCACAAGACCAAAATAGACTAAATAGCTTAAGACTTTTTACTTGCAATTGGATTTCAATCTCTTTTTTTAAATTTTATGTTTAACAACGTTAGCACAAAAAAAGTAAAATCCTCACTTGACAACTTTTCCACATCTAAACCTACAATTTATAATGCGTCAAAATCCAACTTTCCGAGTTCTGGAATGTCATTAATCATTTATGCAGATACTTTATCACAGGTTGTAGATGCATGTTTGTCTCAAAATTTCGAGGAAACCATCAAACATTCGATACTATTCGACAATAAGCAACTATTCGAATCGAACAAAAATTCGGTTTTTTTTCCTTAGAAAATAGTATTTACACTCTCTTCTCAGTTCTGAAGAAGTTGAAGATATACATTTTAAAACCTGAAATCAACCCCATCAACCATACAATCGTCTATTTTTTTCTTTTTATGGAATTTTTTCAGAATTTCAGAAATGGGATATTTAGCATTACTAAGAACAAGACATTTAGAGAAACACCATTAGAATGCAAATCTATGTGTTAATTAACGTTTGGACATTGGAATTAAAAAGCAAAGTAAACTAATCTCAATATATTATACTATTCCTTACGTTCTGGTTTAATTGGTTTTATGTACATCACTGTCATCACACACACACACACAAATGATCTAATGAAGTCAGGAGAGGGGGGGGATTCCACAGTCAAACAGTGTAACCTACATGCCATCAATGTATGAATTTTTTCTCTTATTGGACAAATGAATATTATTAAATGTTTTGTGATAAAAATTTTGTTCGCCAATGCGCCTAAAATGTTAATGAACACTACCAATCACAGAGGAAAAAGAAAACATAAAAAGCATTTATTTTCTCATACAATAAAAATTATTTTATCAATTGTAGGTGTATTCCTAAATACAGGAGGTAATAGAAGTAGGAAGCTTTTTTATCAATCATAAAATACTAATTGAGAAATTAAAAGCTGTGAATAATATTAGTAAAAAACAATAAGATGAAGATTATATTAAATTTGAAATATTTCTTAGTAATGTTTTTCGATATCTTAAGAAAACTATTAATTGTTTAACGATGGTCTATCCGCCAGGTCTAACCTCTCGAAATGGGTTTTTTTCATCCAGCCAAATTGGCACTTTGAGACAGAACCATTCCTCTCCGCAAGCAAACGTTACTACTCAGTAGAGTAAAAATAGTCAGTGAGATGGGGGGAGAATAGACTGAGGTGAACAATATAGCCATTCTAGTACTGCCTGAATTAAAGTCGCTTATATTATTGAATTATCGTCAGATATAATAATCGTTCCACTATTGTATAAGTTATTAGACTATTTCTCGTGGGAAAAGTTCTGAGGTTTTATCTTCTAAGAGATGTTCATTTTTATTAATTTATTGTTAGTTTATTGTCTTGTCTATACATTTCGTGTAATCAATTTTAACGTTAAATTAATAAAAGTGAAGTATTGCGCTTATCTGTTTGTATTCTTTCGAGTCCAATTTAATGGCTTCTCAATCACTACTGCGTTCGGATCCCCAGATTATCTGACTAATGAGAGTAATTTCCAACTCTGCCAACCTGAGGCAGAAGTACCACGAAAATTGATATTTTCAACTAAAAATGTTTTACTAGAAATGCGTTTAGTCAACATATACAGACACAAAAGCAGATTTCGAAGAAAAAGTGTTATTTTCATTTGGAAAGGACATAAGCTGGCCCAAGTCTTTATATTATGAAGTTTCATGTCATGTTAAAGATTCGTCGTAACTTAATAACACACATATATACATATATACGCATGCACTTTAATTTTTATTCGTATTGATTCAATACAACAAATAAATTTTTATGATATATATTGCATCAAGATATTTTATTAAACATGTTTTTTTTAGCAATTTTTGATTAGCCATTAAATTAAGCTGTTTGCATAATTCATAAAATATATTTACTTACAGAATTTTAATCACACACTTGCCTAACTACTTACATCATTCTTTTAATTCCCTCTTATTATTTGTCTATATAAATAAAAAAGAAAGCATAAAACAAACTAGATTATTGAATACTTATTGCAGTTTAACAGCAATCTCGTCAATTACTGTAAGAAAATGTGTATAAAACAGTTAAAAATATATTCTGTATCTATTCTTTGCTTGACATGTTAAACAACATATAAAGATGCGTGGTTTTACGAATTAGCTTATGGGTGTGTCAGCATTTCTAGTGATGGATGAAAGATCCTGATGAATAATGCGTCCCTGGGGAGTATTCTACTTACTTTTTATCTTAGACCTTTTACTACACCCGATTTAGAGGAAATACTGTACTATTCCATAAATGAAACGCATGTTAAATAAAGTCGGGTTTTGGCAATTTCTTCCATCAATCATTTTATACTTTTATTAATATCAGAGAAAAATACCATTGAGCTTATGTTTCTGAATTCGTCAAGTACAGACTGATGAATATTTCACAAAAGCAAAAACAAGATTTTTCTGCATGATAAGATCAAATAAAGATAAAATGCTGAGATATTTGCTGATAGCAGATTCTATCAAAAAGTCTTATTTTAATGACATTTTGTGTTATGTTGAGTTAAGAATTACACGTAAAAGGTTAATAATAACAAAACTTTAGCATTTTTGATGAATTTTTTGAGAACTAAATTAACGAGATAAAATTTTTCAGGGAAAAATAAATTAAATTGTTTAAAAAGCGCTAATAGTAATTTATTATTTTCCCTTTATGAGTTTAGGAAGCATTTTCACTTCGTTTTTGTTGATATTACTCTTAAGAGTCATGATAAATCCATGACTGTTACTTCGGAAGTAGTCGATTCCAGACTGTAAAATCCAAACTTTAAAACCAAACTAGCCGATACCCGTCCATTTTAATAGGTATTTCATGACATTAACTATTGTAAGATTATACATTCTTTTTTGGGTTATTGTTATTTAAGTCCTAGCATTAAGCCTTCAATTGTATTGAAAACTATTCTTACGGCTTCTTAGTTTAAAGGCGGGGCAGGACTTGAGTTTCTAAGATAGAAGTACATTACTCATTTTCGACCCTGCAGCTCCCTTCCCATCGTAGTTGATTTCCAGAAAAATTTAACGGATATGTTCTCAACAAAGGAAACTCGCTTACTGAATTTCCAATTTAATTGTTAAAAACGGAACTTTTTTCTCTGTAACACCCCCGTAGCCTCTTTGGGAGTCGATTTCTACGAAACCAGTTCTTAGTGGATCTCTACTTAACGTATCCGACTACGTTCGGAACCGTGATTTTAAAAAAACGCATAAATGGATAATTTTCATGATATTTAGTGTCACTTAGAATGCATGTATAAAATTGCTTTAAGGACATTTTGACAAAAAAAATTACTTAAATACAATATTTCGGCAAAAAATTAAGTTAGAATATCCTTTTTTCAAAATATTCTCCTTTTGTGAAAAATACTTTTATTATAATAATATTTTACTTGTATATAGCTCAGACCTCTATCCAGACGCTCAACTATGAGTTTTGAAAAATTCCCATTATTTTCAGAGTTATAACCCATTGAAATAATTATCGACGTTTTTTTCTTAAAATTTCTCCCCTTTGTTGTCGAAAAACATAGATAAACCCACTTCTCAGTTATATATTTCAAAAATTCTAGTTGAGCATCTGTACAGAGGTCTGGGCTACATACACAGGCAAAATATTATTATAATAGAAGCATTTTTCACAAAAGGAGAATATTTCGAAAATGGGTCATTCTGTTCATTTTTTGTCAAAATATTGTACTTAAATAATTTTTTATTGTATTACTATTCTTAAAACAATTTTATATACATTTTCTAATCTAAGTGACACTAAATATCATAAATATTATCCATTTATATGCTTTTGCAAAATCACGGTTCCGAACGTAGTAGGATACATTAAAAGAAGAAATATGTTTGCCAAATTAAAAGTCTAAGTCTAATAGATCAAAAGTTGATTTGTTTATTATTTTAACACCCCACAACTTGTCTTGTGAGTCTATTTCCATTAAACCTGTTCTTTGCGGACCTATTTAACAGAGAAACACGTTTTTGCCCAATTTCAAACTTTTAAATCTAACACTTCAAAAACGGAAACTAATTTTTTTTCATCTATAACAACCCTACAAACTCCACTGGGGTTCACTCTCCACAAAACCCTTTCTTAGCAAATATCTACTCATTAAAATGAATATTCAGGCCAAAATTTAAGACAGTAGGTCTAATGGCTCTGTCGATCTCGTGATGGGCTACTGAATAAGTGACT